CCCCACCTCTCGTCCTTTCTTTCAAACTTTTGGTGCATATATAGATTCTACGTTATGTACAATAATTATCGTATTCTAGTCAGTAAGTGTTTCAACGCGTACTCGCGACTGCATATTTTAATAAGGTCATATTATATGAGCACACGGGACACATTAGACATCTTTAGTTTGGTAGGAATTAATAAGGGGATTATGTATGTGGTTGTAAAACGTAGATTCTATTCATAGATTGCATCCATTAATTGCTAAAAACGATTATGCTTGTTTTTCATTGTCCTCTTTCACTCTTTCACTATTGACTATTGACTCCCACGGCACGCATGCGTGGCCCCTGTCTGACTCCGGCGCCCGGCGCCCCGCGGCGCATACTCCCGGGCGACGTAAGTGGGTCTTTTTACTTTATCTTGTACCTAGGGCATCGAAGGGAGAAAGAGCCCTCTAGATCTAGCAAGGTTGATAGCCTGGCTGGGTGAGATATTGTATGTTGTCAAGGTATCTTTCACTCCCTGGATCCAGGTCTGCGGGTGGTTGGCGAGTGCTCTGGTGTGGTTTGCTTCTTCTTTCCTATCAAACGTCTATCGTCTTTCTCCCCTCCTTCTTTTTGTGTTTGTTACTCCTTGTAATACCTCTCTTATCTTCGGCACTTATATTACCTTATTGTGTTGCAAGTGCCGTAAAACACTTACTAAAACAATCTAACAAAAAGGATCCAGGTCTTTCTTGGTCTTCCTCTTGTTTTGTACCCTGATACTTTCCTGTAGTAGTAGGCTTTACTGGCAAGCTGGTTAGGTGCCATACGTGTGAGATGTCCAAACCACCCGATTGTTAGCCTTCGAATGTAGTGGAGGACAGATGTTGTTCCCACCATTTCTCTGATCTTGTTTCTGACCATGTCCCACCTGGTTTTGTTTTCGACTCTCCTTAGACGTCTCAAATCGCAGGTGGTTATCTTACGTTCCAGACGTCCATGTCTGGACCATGTCTGTAAGTGGGTCATCGATCGAAAAGAACGCTCTTCCGGTTACCCCGCTAGGCTGGGAAGAATAGCCAAAAATTGGAATTTTGCAAATCTCGAGTCCCAACACCTTGAGATCCACAAATCCCTAACCCAATTCCAAGTCCAAGGGATGTAATAAAGTATTTACAAGTAATCTGTCGATAGTGTGTGTGGGTGTGTACAAACTTAGTAGAAAGTAAAAGTCTTTGGTTAAAGTACCAGAGGCCATGGCCAGCAGTTCATTGCACTTCTCACTTTCAATTTGTTTTCTAGCATAGACTCTAGTAGTGTTTCTTTTTCTATGCCGTCCAAGTCAGTTTCTATTAACTCATTAACTTCCATCATACATTAATCATAATAATATTATTGTTTCTTGACACTAGATATTTCAACTATTCACATTATATTAAAATGTTTACAGTGGTGTGTGTGTGTGTGAGTGAGGGCGGGGGTGGGGATGG